GTGCATGGGGGGGACAGATGGTCTTACGTGTGATCTAGTTGGAGGTCCAGAGCCGTACCCCAGCAGGGACCCTTCCAGCTGACAAGACTGGCCTAACATCCACTTTCCCTGGGTCGGACTCCGACAGTGACTGCAACAGGACGGGCCACCCATGTGTCAGCCAGGCAGACAGAGACGCTCTCTCTTCCAGTCACCGCAGCCAGCTGTTTCACCTCTGCAGCTATTACATCATTACAAACAAGGAGGGACAAGAATTACACAACAGCCCTGAGCTCCTGTTTAAATACAACACAAACAACATCTACTTACTTATTCAACCAACGTCTGTATGTATGTGACCCGTTCATCAGCTTCACACTTGGCATGTGTACTGCTAAAGGCCCAGGGAAACGCAGCGTCACATTTGGTACGATTTAGACACGTGATACGTTCAATATTGTCTTCATAAAAGTAAAAGCACAATGTTGGTTTCCTGCTGCAATGCTTTATATTGAGCTGAACCACATAGCTTTTATTTTGAAAAGTTGTTAACTTGGATCTGAAGATTGTGACAGCCGACATACATTGTATGACTAAATAACACCAGTGGATTATTCAAGATTGTATATTAGTCACACACGTGAACATTAATAAAGCAAAAATAAGTTTCATTTTATGAAAATCATTGACCATAAAATCTTCATTGCAGATAAACCAGGTAGGATGAACACAAAGTTTTCTAACTTCACTCTTCTGCACCATAGACTGCTCATAAAACACACAACGTCCAGCACACAAACAGTATATTGTAGAACTGTTTGCAGAGGACTCACGAATGACAAGGAATCATTCTGAAGTAGCTCAGGAGCTTTAACACAGGACAATAGATCAACCCATTCCCACTGCACTAAAGTTATAATGATGCCAACATATCCATGAAGATTCTCTGGCATAGAGTGATCCAATAAGCCAGGTTTATTAGAACAGCAGTATGTAGAAAGCACATCACTGAGGGATGAAATATAGCAGCCGACAGATATTTATTATTTTTCATCACAGCTTAAGCTCAGTGGCTTCGAGTCTGTTGATGTGTGTAGGTGGTTGCAGCATTTACGCATTTCAATGTGTCTACAGTTGAGTGTGCCAGCATGTTGGACAGATAGGTTTGATGAATGGAGACAGGCTGAAGCCAAACTGCAGTTATGCTATTTTGTTGCGTGATGTTCCCGTTGAAGAAGTAGTAATGACAACACTGTCATATTAACAAACGCTGCCCGAGCCAGCCCCGCGGGTTATGGCACCAGGAAGTTCATGCAGTCATCATAGATCAAATCACACTGTCATTGATGGCACTGAAAAAGTAACAAGAGCAAGGTATCGAGTGCCCAGATACTGTGAGCTACGGCTAACAAATGCATTTATTTTAGCCAACCTCCGCGACTCAGGGCTGGCCAGCCTGATGCTCTCCACGGTTAGTCAGCACTCCAGCCACTTTGCCAGCTCAGCTTTTATTCCCGTACCCTGGAAATTGAGTTTTGCTTGCCATGTAATGTACTCAAACCTACATCTGCAACTGACTGATAAATCTACTTTTTGTTGCTCCTGACAGATGGCTGCGAAAATGAAAATTCACCGCAGCATGTTGCTGTGTCAGGACGAAGGTCACTTTAGATTTTCCTCTCCGCTTGGCTCAGGGCGAGGGCGCGATGACCATTTTGTCTCTAATTCAAGTTGCAAAGCTTTAATATTTTCTTTAAGCTTGTTTGGTTGAATGAGATGACAGGTTTCTGGATTGTTTTGTTCCACTGCTGCATCCGCCAGCAGCCTGACTACACTGGGAGGACACACCGAAAATCCCTGCTGATGTGCCAACAGTATCTGTTATTTGCTGAGCGACGACGGCTTTGTATCTACAGAGCAATAATTGCGTGCTTGCGTGTGTGGTTACATACATGAGGGTGCTGTTCAGGCAGTTTGATAAATACCACAAGATGACAGATCTTTATTGCAGAGCAGCAGTCGGGGTCTGACACTCCAAAGACCAATTTCAACTGTTAACAAGGCCTGGACCAGGAATACCTCACAGCGAAATGTCACCAGGCCTCCCTTTCCACACCTCTTTACTCTCACTCTCTCCCACTCCCTCTCCGCTCTGGCCTCAGCTCTCCCATGGACATTCAACGAATTGTAGTTCCTCTCTTTCAATTTGCAGACCGTGTTGCCTCGTTCCACAATATGCTGCCCAGGGGGATCATGGGTAGGCAAGAGCAGCGGCCCGGCCAGGTCCGCGGAGAGCTGATAACCTTTCAGTGTTGCTTTAGCACGCTGTGTAAAGAACAATCAGTGTTTATCACCATCGACTACAGGCTGATACTGATTCACTGTCATGCAGGCAGAGGGAGAGTGAGTGCATCACAGGCTTTCCCTCTGATGTTCTCCAGCAGACAGATAACTTTTCCTAGATTTAAGATTTGGGGGCTTTTTATTGCCTTTTCTCTTCTGTAATCCGCTTGCTCAAATCCACGGATTGGAATATTGCTGAGGATGTACATTTCAAATTTACAGAGCTCTGCAGCTGTCAAGGTAAAAAAATAATACATTCATACATTTAAATGAATGATTCGTGACTCGTGAATACTATTATCCTGCCATATGTTTTGAATTCGGATGTGAGATGTAACATTTTCAACAAGAGAGTGGTATATGTTCACTCGAGCAGCAGCAGCCTGATCTGGACAGTGTAGCTGAAACAATGTCCAATGTTGGATCACAACTGTATAAAATGTACTGAAAATGTAATCCACCAGCCTGACAGTATTGGTGAATGACCAAAACACAGATGTTGGCCAGATGCTAACAGTGTACCTCCCCAAAGCCCATTTTCCACTGGTCAAAGTACCCACCAGACACATGAACTTCCTGCTTTTGTCTGCAATGGGAATGGATATAATCAGCATTCACTCCCGGTCATGACTCAGGTCTTAATCAGCTCCGGCTCTGATGGAAATGAGACACCCAGGTGAATGCACTAGTTTGGCAAGACAGCGAGGTGAGGCACCTCAATTTTCTCTGTGTTTGAGATAAACACGACGCACCAGGGAAAAAAACTGAAAGACAAACTTGTCTACTGGCAACGTGAAAGGAGTTGATTGCATTTTTAAAACAGGTTTATATGCTTTAAAAAAAACCTGCTTCTACCTGCTAATTTAGGTGTAAAAGGGGTATTAATTACCAGAGTAGTCAAAACAACCTGCAACTTAAAGTGCTATCCACCAGTTTCTACAGTTCTTGGAGAGGTCGACTCCATATGTGAATAAGACGAGGTTAAAAGCTAGTATCTGGCTGGATCGTGTGATGAACGTGTGAACCTGAAGATTGGATTGCTTTCTTCTTTTTCTTCATAAAAACATAAAGTTGGTGTCTTGTTTATAGCTCTGTTAAAAAATCATCAGCTAGTGGTAACTTGGCACAACACTGCAAGTTTCTGCTTTAGTCGTGAGCGTTCGGGCCAAAAGAAACTGAGGTAATCGTCACTGTTTGTGCCAAGTTATTTTGAAAGAGCAACGACTAATGGAAAAAAAATTCCAACATCTCGACCAATGATGTAACTCACTCACTCACTCACTTACTCACCCCCTTACCCCATCTATGTGGTTGTGTTTTGTACTTATATTGTGGCTTCTGAAGTTGTATTGTTGCTTTTGCATTCATGTTTTGGCTTTTGCATTCGTGTTGTCTGTTCATGCACTTGTGAGAGGCGTGTAGGCCACCTTAAGAGGGAGCTGTGAATTAATTTGGCTCAAGGGACATCACTAGAAGCAGAATTGGTCGGGTTGCCACCCTAAAATAATTCGAAAAAAGAATTATGAGGGTAAGATTTAATGTAAATCTGTATTCATATTCGCAAATTGCAAATTCAACATAAACTATTCATTTAGAGGCACAAATGAGTATTTTATGTTTTACCATGAATGCTACTGGGCTCTTCACAAATTCATGTGTAAAGAAAAAATACATAAATGAAGGTCAAGATGATGATAAAGAGCTGCAGTATTTCCCAGTTTGCACTCAGTCAGGTGACCTCGTGTTTAATTCTCTGTCATCTCTCTAATGTGTTTGATTTAAAACAGGAAAATGTAAATACAAAACAGCATTGACATGCCTCCATTTAAAACAAATTGTATTGTTAAATTAGATATTACAAGTATTTCCAAAAGGCATCAGGAGGCTGTAATCACGCTGCATTATTTTGTGTTGCAGAATACAAAATGTTTTTTATTTTATTTAAAATGCATAAAAATGCAAATGTAAAAACATGAGTATCTCAAGTTAACTACAATTACAATTCAACATTTCTTTTTGCAATTGTTTTTCCTTGTTTGTGTGCACGGCCTTTGCAGAGAGAATAATTCTCAGTTTAGGGAACAAGGGCTATTTCAGCCATTGTTTCAATCCAACAATGAACCTTCAGTCTTGCTACTCCTGCCATGTAGCTCTATTCACTCATGCTGCAGGAAGATGTGCAACATTTGTGTGATATATTTTATAATGTGCCTGACCTTGACAGTGAAAAGACGGCAAAGTGTCATACAGGGAAACTATTGCAATGAATATTGAGTGCAAGTTTCACAGCGCACAGTGTAGCTTCAAGTAAAATAATCCAACAATTCGATGTTATTAAATGGTTCTCATGAACAGACGTAGTAACTGAAACAACATGTTGAAAGAAAAAAGCAAAGCTCTGCAGCTGCAGTGAAAGCAAGCTTTAGCAGGAAAGTAATTTATGGACCACCAGCTGGTCTGTAAAGGTTACTACCAGAGGCAATTCAGACATGGAAGTTCAACAAGAATCTAATTAAAATAGGACAGGCTGGTAGACACACCACCACATGAAGATGCTTTCCTGTCTGGTGAGCATAAAAAGAAGACTCCTCCATTTTCTGTCCTAGAGAAATGTAAGTATTTTCCTGGGTCTGTCTGTCTAACATGCCTGTTTGCCCTCTTCTCTTTGACCATCCCAGCGCGGATCGTGCGGAGCCGCCAGTGGTGCGAGATGGCTCCCTGCATGGAGGGGGAGGTCTGCAGCCTCCTGTTCAACCGATCTGGCTGGACCTGCACCAGGGGCAGCGGTCGCATCAAGACCATCACGGTAATTTACAGGACGTGATATCAATACCACATATGCACTTAACAGTATTGCACCCACGTTTTCAGCATGTGTGACCCCCGCCCCCTGCAAGCTGATAGCGTCACATGAAGCCTCGGCACCTTGACCTGGAGGCAGCACTTTCAGACAGCAGGTCAGGGTCCAGGTGTCAAAAAGCTGCATCAGTTGTGAATCTCAAAGGCAAGAAATTGAATGCTGTGCTGTTTTATGTGAACCACAACTACAAAGCATTGCCTCACTCAGAGATGTAACAGCAGATAGTGGTTTGATTGTAATCCACAGTTTAAGGGTTAGGGGTCAGGATCAGAAAGAAGTCAAAGAAACAAACTATTGGGTATGGAGAACTTCTGGGCGTTGGTGCTTTAGTAGCCACTGTTTATTTCTTTTTCTTTTTTTTTAAAAACATCTTGGGAACAATGTGCAACAATGATTTTTTCTTTGTATCATGCAAGATGTAACAGTGGCAGTAAGACAGTGAGATGCTAGAGGTTTTTAGTCCCTGTTTGTGACGTCGAACATGACTCACCACGGGAAAAAAAACAGAAAGGCAAACTGCTCTGCAGGTAATGGAAATGAGTCAATCCCCTATTTCAAGCAGGTTAAAAGGAAGCTAATTTGGTGTTAAAGAGATATGATAGGAGAGGCTCAAGAATGAGTGTTCTGAAGATTCTGAACATTTACCTACACACTTATTAGACTGCCTTGTTATTTGATCCTCTGGCCAGGTTATATACACCACCCAAAACACCAGCACCAACCAGAAATACTGAGAAGATTTAAGAACACTCAAATATAATTTGAAACTATTCTGGACAGAACCTCTTCAGATTCCAGGAGTTACCAGCTCATATCAAAAACATTAGAAATGAAAAGTGAAAAACTCTAAATTTGTGGTGATCTGGTGAAGGGTAATAACTGTTATAATCCCGTTTTATTACAAGAGTCATGTGAGTCTCCTGCCTTTTTAAACTCATCAGCTCTTTCTGCTGCTGATCAGGCTCTTATACAACAATAAACAGTATAAACATCAATACACGGCTGATGGAAAACATCCGCTGTGACATCACTTGTTGGGGTGCAGCCAACACGCAGTGCAACACACTGAACTGCTCACTGTTTTATACACTGGCGAGCGGTTCAGCAGCAGGTCTCTTTGGCGTTTGAACCATTCAACCTATATTGGCAATAATACAGTGAAACTCCTGACTCATGCTGACAGAATGGTAAATCAAAAATGAATATGAGCAGTCGATTAAATAACCTGCTCAAACATGAGATAAGACATTTAAAACATGGGTGTAACGCTGAGGAGAATATCAATAGCTGACAACACTCTGTGACCTCTCTGTGACTCTGTGGGAGACGGAAGTGAAAACACCATGGTGAATTTTTAAAACCTTCAATATGGTGTCATCTGCTCCTCTGTAGGCTCCTCTTGCAGCGACATGCCTCAGAGCTGCAAACGCTGCAGTGCTAACTGAGGCTTTTCAAAGTGATTAACTCTCATTCAATAAACACATCATTACTTCATCATCAGTAATGATGATTAATTTCACCCTTTCGTTTTTTGTATCATTATAAAGGAACTAGCGTGATAAATGAATTTGAATGCCATGAATGGCTCTGAAGGAAACCTACAGGCTGGCCAACAGTAGTCGCTCCGCAGGCGCTACCGCGTGTCCACTCAATGACTGGGTCGCCATGGATACAGGTCTCACTGTCGCTGTGAGCTTCTCACCGCACCACTTGGCAATTTCACACTATGCAACTTTATACACAATGGCAATGGAGGAGTTCTGTGTTCTGTTTGTCATGCCCAAGAAACACAATTATATTCCCTCCACTGTTCCCCCCCGCCTCATCTCTTCAACCTGGATCCACTGCTACAGTTGGTTGCATGTACACAATTGTTGTTCAAAAGTTGGCATCGCACAAGTTCAGCTTTTTTGGTTTTGGCTTGAATTGAATTGAATTAAATTCCATGTTTCCTTGTGCAGACACTGACTGCTTGATCACAGAAAATACGTTTGATACCACGCCTACATGTCGCCATCTGAAACCACATAACATCACATCAGCTGAAGGAGAATGTTGCCATGCAGATACTCAAATCTGAACTTCTCGTTGCTTTTGAACCTTTGTTTTGCGGTGATAAAAAACACACTCTTTGCTAATGCTCTTTTGTAGACAAAGCTTTGTCCCAATTCAGGGGAATCAGGCCTGTGTCAAACCAAACCAAAATGAGACGATCTGGTCTACGGTAGATTTCTGTGATTTGTGTGACCGGCGTGTCCCGCCCTTACTGCTGTCGCCTAGCCAGAGCAGTTGAACACAACGAGAAAGTTATAATGCGCCTTGGTTTTTGTGAACTATTAGCGGCTGAGTTGAATCTTGATACTTAAGCATTGGACGTCTCGTTGCTCAGCATTATTTATTTGAAAAATTGTTTATTACAGAAGCGCAGTGAATTCTGGGATAGGTTCATTTGTTTCTTGGGGATAAAAGAACACATATAAAGGAGCATGTGAAATAGGACACTCTAGATGTACAGCTGTGACGCAATCTGTCTTCAAATGCAGATTAATGGCGAAGGTTTCAATATACCATTAACGTATATTCAACATTTCTCTTCTGCAGTTATGTATCAGCCCATAAATCAGTATAACATATTGGTAATATTATTATTGGCCAATAAATCAGCATGGTTGATTAATGGATTCTCATAGATGATTTAAATTGCAATTTTCCACCATTGTAAAAGGAAAAAAATCTGCTCAAACCGTAGCAAGTAGACAGATATCTGCCTGAGGTATGAAGATGTCAAAATAAAAAGATAGAGAGGCACCAAAGGGAGACGCAGTGGGACGTAACTTAAAGAGACAGAGTGAGTGAAACAGCACAATACAGCATGTTGATGTCAGCAAGAGATGACACGACGGTCAGAGCAGCAGAGACTGTTGTCCTCGTCACGAGGTACACAAGGCCACGGGTCAACCTGTCACTGGCTCTGTTGATTTTCACTCTTTCTCTTTTACTCGCTCGCTCGCCTTCTCTTTATCTCTCTCCCTCCTCTGCCTCGTCCATCCGGCAGCCCTGGGCAGCTGCGGCAGATTTTATGCGTGCATTCTCATCGCACTCTAATCTACCCTGACAGCACACTTAGATGAGTGTTTTGCATTTGCACATATATTTACTTAAATTTTTGTTAATGCAGATTACGTGTTCAGCTGAATATCCCCTATTCGCTGTTGGTGATCAGTTTTTTCCAGAAGTTGAGAGGGTTGGGGGTTGGGGGTTGGTGGGGGGGGGGTGCAGAGGACCAGACCGTTGCTTGGCAAGCACATGCGAGAAAACAAGTGTAGAGACAGAGTTTTTTACTGTCTTCACGTGCACTTGATCACATTGCATAGCATTCTCTGCGACGTGTCTTTGGAAAGCTGACAATGGCTGCAGTCATTATTCATGTGATTCATGCTGTGGTGCACAGGTTTAACGTAGGTGGTGTCAGCTACTGGAATGAAGTGACAGATGCGGCAGATCATGCAGGAAATTGTGCATCTAATAAAACACACATTGTGCTGTAGATATGGATTATGCGTAGGGTTTGGGTTCAGTTGCATTTTTACCAAATCAAAGTCCAATGTCAAATTGCTCATTGAAATCAAATAATAACTAATGCCTTTTGAAATCCAAGCTCAGTTAAAAATTGACTTCAAGGTTCAAGGTGGTTTGATTAATCTGCGTTTTGTTGGCTGACGAGGCAGAAACGCTTTATTTCTGATTGGCAGCCTCATTAATGTTTACAATGTGTAGCTACATCCATCAAATGAAATGAATAACAGAAGATATGAAATGCAGCCTCGGTTGATTTGACACATTGAAATATATGATATGTGATAACATATATTTGTATAATAGAAAAATGTGCATTGGATACTTGCATTGTATATGAGGTTATTTAAGGCGAGATAGGAAAGAGGAGGAGATTACAGCACATGAGTCGTTTAACCAAACAACATATAAATACAGTAAATCCTCCAGGGAGCCATCTCTGCTGTCATCTGTTATTTTTCAATTGTATGTATGTTTATCTGTTTGGGTTAGCACCTGACCTGCATGGGGCCTGTACTACAAAGCGACTTTAAGTTACCCAGGATCAATTTTCATTATCAGACTAGAATAAACCTAACATTGGCCTCTTAATTAACCCTGGGTTTTCTTATCCAGCCACAAACAAGTTCAGTTAACACAGGCAGAGTTTGGAATTACTGAAATGTTTTTATTTTCATTTATAATCCTCAGAAATATTAAATAGTGTATGAATCAGTTTTTAATAAAATCAGATTAGTATTAAAGCATCAACACTGTCAGGTATTATGTCAGAATAAATGTTATGAATTTATGTTACGATAAATGTCTCACTCCATTTGTTAGAAGATCTGTTTTAAAAGAAAAGCGATTCTGCTCAACTATGAAGAAGTCTTCTGACGATGACTCATGTTTTCCAGTGATCTGATTGGTCAGTAGTTCAGTCGTTGATAGGTTTTGGACTCTTATCAGGAACTTAACTTGCTCTTGAGCAGGTTGGCGGCTCAGCATAAGTTACCACGGTGATTTACCCTGGTAAAAAGAAGTTAAACCTTGAAAACCACAAACCCTGCTTCGTACTGCAGGCTGCCATGTTGGATGCAAGCAACCAGTGAGGGACAATTTTATTCTGAGTGCTGCTGGAATTGATACAAGTGGACCCACTGATAATATTGTCCTGGCTGTAGCTGGTTATTCTCTCATCACTTTCACAACAGCTATTGGCCCAGGTTACCACATACTTCAGACAATAATGGTCTCCAGTAGATGACTGCTGATGTGATTCCCTGATTTTCCTCCCGCACCACAGAGACAGCTTCATTTCACAGGCCAATCATAAAAGAAAACAATGGCTGAGAGATCAATGAGATTTGCTGTGAATGTTCCTGATCTTA